TGTATATACACATGAATAAAGAAAAAACTGCATGAGCCTGTTTATTATCAATATACATATGCTATGTATTCATATGAATGGAATTATTTTTTCGTATATACATGCATAAATAATTATATGCTATACAAACTTATGCGCCAATGCCGGTGGCCTCAATAATTTTTGCCACATGGCAGCGCAAAAATGACGCCATGTTTACTGGTAACTGTACTTCATTCTTATTTTAAACTCAATTAAGGAAAACTTGCTTAAATGTTTAGTACATACCTTGGCACCGATTTGGTTACCGCACTGACCAGCTTGGATGTGTACAATTTCCCTCATTTTCTTTTTGTGTATATAAAATTGTAGACTTTTAACTTAAAAATTATTTCCTGCTTTGTATTCACAAACACACTTCTGCCCGCTTCACTTGACGAATACTGTCTGAGTTCTTCAGCGAAATCGCCGGTATAATATAACGTTGATAGCAAGTGTGACCAGACTTTGCAAACAAATAATACCACCACTATTGAGTATAAGAGATTAGAGGTTACACTCTGCGTACTCAATTACGTCATAAATGGACGTAGCGAACAATACTCTTTGAATTTCAATAATTAGTTTTATTAAGTCTTGAATGTCGTTTTTTTTTTAATTGAGAACTTTGAATATATTCTGAAATAATAAGCATATATAAAATTTAAAACTCTTACCAAACTAAAATTCTATAACTCTGTCTTTTTCTTTCCTGCGCTCTTTCGCGTTTTCTCATGATTACTCTCGCTTATTTTCTTCCTTGAAAACTAAAACTAAAATCGATGCTACTTTCTAGAAATAACGCAATGTCCCGAAGGAAACAAATGTACATATATACATACATATGTATGCATATATGTACCTTTCTATTTTAACTAGAATACCCCTGTAGGACGTCAAAAAAATTCCTGCTCAGCTCCTTATTATCAGAAGGATTATATACACATTCATATATATGTTTGGTTGGAAAATCGATAAATTATGAATTTTCGTTCGGTACTTTTGAGTTTTAGGGACTTTATTTAAATATGTATGTCACCAGATGTCCGGAGCGGAAATTGGCAAGTAGAGCGACAGAGAGAGGAATGGGAGATCTTAAACGAACCAAACAAAACAAAAATTGTAAAAAAAAACTGGCCCCCTTTACCAACCAAGCTTTTATAAATTACAGGCAACGCCCTATTACACACCTTTATAGGAGCGTTTCATACCAATTTCGACCTCAATTTTCCTCTTTTGGGTATAAAAAAGATTTACTTTTCTACTAGGTTACCAAAAATTAACTTTTCCTTCAAATTCGAATATTCCATATATACTAT